TATTTTCCGTTGCTAGTATTGACACTTGTGAAATATAATATTTCATAGGAAGTATTTCAACTTTGTTAAAAAACTGATTCTGACTGAGATTTTGACACTTAAACAAACATATCTCAGCCTAACCGAACGACCGCATTGTGCGAGATGCGAAGTACAAAAAGTAATCTCATTAGAGAGGGCGCTCTTTATTGACTGTATAAAGTATACGTAAAAGCGAGAGTATTCCAGTGGATGCGATCTACAACCTCTGAATTTGCCTAGTAACGATGAATTCGTCGAATATTTTATGAGAAATAGTCTGTATTTCTCATTTTTTTTATTCTTTTGCGTAAAACTAAAATTCATGCCAATATTTTTCCATGATTTATAATAATTGGAGTAATGCGAATGCATATTTTCTAAAAAAAGTCATTTTTAGTGAAATTTTGCCGGGAATGGGGCTTTAAACTCTTTCTTTTGAACAATTGTACAAATTATGTAAAATTATGTAAATTATCATTGTGTCTGTAGGGCATTCAGCTCCGCAAAGACATCAAGCAGGATGACATTGATACGAAAGGCTTGAACTCTGAGTTACAAAAGTCTGATAAGTCCTTTGGCCAGATGAAGTCAACACTTGAGACGACAATAAACAAATTAGAGGTGAGTAACAACCTGCGTAGTCTTCACTATGCTACTGTACCCCTGTCGGCTTGCACCATAGCCTTGTAAACTTCTGCATGGGTCCTGCTTCCCTATTCATGGCATCAAAATCTTGACAGTTTAAATAAACTCAGCCTTCTAAACCTCTGCCTGGCTCTGCTTCCACTCTGATGATATGGAAACTTGATGTTATTGTGGAAGGCACCCTACAAATATCCTACCAATACCATCAAGATAATAAACCAGTTAGTGGTGAGGTTAAACCGCATTTTACAGCCTGCATACACACTACATGCACCATGCTTAAACCCCTGCCAGCTTTCACCATAGTTTAACTTCTGCCTGAGCTCTGCTTTCCTTCTAATGTTAGCAGAATTTGACAGCATACAGTAAATAAACCAGTTAACATTCTAAACCCATGTCTAGGCTCTGATGCTATCAGAACTTGACAGCATAACAAACCAGTTAGAGGTGAGTTAAACCACACCTTGCAGCCTGCATACACACTGCCCGCACCATGCTTAAACCCCTGCCAGCTTCCACCATAGCCTTCAACCAATAGCCTTCTCTGTCTGGGCTCTGGTTTCTTTCTGATGACATCAGAACTTGACAGTGTAATATACCAGTTAGAGGGGAGTTAAACGACACCTTAACATGGGTACACACAGCATTGACAATGCTTAACACACTTCCTGCACCCAGCTTTCTTCACCTCTGCATTTGCTTTGGTAGAAGATATTAAAACTTGAGAACGTAATAAACCAGTTAGAGGTGGGTTGAACCACATCTTACAACCGGAGTATGCATTGCCCGCACCATGCTCATACCTGCCGGCACTCTTCCCCCTTGATGATGCAACCCGCGTACACCCTGCCAGTAACATGTCCTACTGTCCAGGGTCTGAAATTGGAAGAAGTCCCTTTCCAGGAGATCTGATTAAATTGAGCTTTAATTGAATTTTGCTGTGGATGGGGACACCCATCGACACAGACGTCCATGAGATAATAAAGTAGTAAAACATGCGCATGTTGTGAATTTGCGAGGAGATTCTTTGCTTACGGGAGTGCGGAACACTGTCCCGATTTGCAGGAGACCTCCACAGTTTGCTTGAGACTTGGGACCCCTGTACTGTCTGCCTGGTCTCGGGTCTGCAGTCATGTCTGCGCCCATAGAGTCTTGGGCTACTTGCACCAAGAGAGCCATACAATCATGCTGTTGCCAGGTTATGTCTCGGGTTTTTTTCCAATTTAGTGCAATTTAATTATACACTGTGAAACTTATCATCCGTTTGACCTTTTGTTACAAAAGAAGAATAGTGTCTATATTCTGTTAATTACATCATTAATTTTATATTACAATTATTTGATCTTGTTATGCTAAAAGAACTTTTGGGTTGTTTCATATGGCATTTTTCAATTCTACTTATTTTATATTGCATTTGATGAAATTGCATTTTTTATATATTGGTTCATAGTAATAGTTCGTATGAGATGGTAGCCAACAAATGGTCCATTCATATTATTGATATATTTATTCATATAAAAAAATCTTAATTGGTATGGAAAATATCTTCACTAAGCTACTACTCTGTATAAATATAAATTGTACAACAGTTCTCATTTTGCAAATATTCTAAGAATTACCTCTGAAAGGTTTAAGTATGTTGAGGTTTTCTTTCCTTTTCTTTTTTTTTTTAAATAGGAAAAGAAAATAAAAAAACACAAAATAACTATGATAGATGTTTGATTTGATAGTAGTTTTTGACACATCTGTTTAACTAAATATTAAAATTATGTCCATCAGTGTGAAATTGCCGAACTAGACAAACAACTAAGTGAAAAAATTCATGAAATAAAAGAAAAGACACCAGCTTATGAAGAACTGGAAAACCTTCATGACGAGAAGTTGAAGGATTACGAGGATAAAAAGAAGAACATTGTCAGTAAGTGCTAAATTTCATTTATATTTGATGCTCTGTAAACCAAACCGGGTTTTTTATGAGGCTTATGGAGTCGATACTGATCAGTGTGGATGCTGTATGTTCTATGTTAAAATCACTTTATGCGTTACAGGCTGATGGAATGGAGAGATGACGGGTCAGGACCTCACTGCTTTATAAACGAGCCATTACGAGATGAATTTACATATTAAAAATAAATGAATAAATAAATAAATACATAAATAAACAAATAAAATAAATGCAGAAAAAAGGATACATTCTGCAGGTGGAAAACAGTGCTGCGAGCAGCTCTGCTAGAGATTGATATGTGCGCCATATAAGATGACATTATTATTATTATTATTGTTATTATTATTATTATTATTAATATTATTATTATTATTATTTTTTATAAGGTTTATAGATTCAAGGGCTGGTCAGTCACTGCAATCATGAATTTAAGGGTTGATGATTCCGGACACATTCCAAATCTATATTTTCGATTGGAAGTGTCCCAGATTTTCATGCAGTCTCTGTTATCTTTGTTCTCTTGAACTGAAAAAATAACCAAAAATACCAAAAACAGCTTATTACAGGTAGTCACATTTTGTTACAAATAATTGAGTCTGTTTTCCTGTTTGTTGTACTGACACCTTGAAAGATCACTTTTAAATCGTTATCAATCAAATACATACATGAAAGAAAACTTGGATTTTCAACATTTCGGAGGTGGGGATGGGAGGCACCCTTCATAAGTGCACTTGCTTCCCGTCTTCTGAATTTTGAGTTCCAGGGGCTGGAATGTCTGCTTAGTATACTATATGCCTCCATCCGTCATCTTATGCTCAATAACCAAGTTTTTCTTCATGAGACTTAAGGAATGGACAGCTGATCAGGTAGAACCTTGATGTAAATATAGTTTTTAGCTCTATCCACACTATCAAATTTTCTTTGACAAAAAAATGTGACATGCCCATATATATAGTAATGCTATGTCTATATATGGTCATGGTGTGATGTCATCATGCCCATATATGGGCATATCACACTTTTTTGTCACACAAAATTTGATAGTGTAGACAGAGCTTTAGTATACAAAATAATGTGCATTTGCCTAGATTGAACCATGGAACATGGCCTACAAGAAAGGCACTTCACCCACAACATTACTCTGTTTCATCCTTATAGGTTTACATTTAACAATATGATGAATGTTGTGAATAAAACAATCATAACTGTATTAAGAAAACACAAAGCAGAAAGTGACAAATATTTATTTTATTTTAATTTATTTTATTCTGTAAACCAATTGTACTAGAATCACAGTTTACAGTAAGGAAATACATTGTATAGTATGCTTGTCTCATTATCAAACATAAGGAATGGAAATATTTTGGGTTGCAAGGTTTAGCATTTACTGTGATGGGTGTTACAATATAATATTATGTCACATCCTGGTCACGTAAATATAAAATGATTACAATACCATTAGGCACTTTATATTATATTTTGTCATGCAAATCTCAATGACACTTTGTCGCAATAAAAGATATTGACAAATGTAGCCACAGGCTTCTTTTAAAAACATTACAATTACACTAGGCAATAATTGCTCTATTTGGTTAATTAAACATTCAATCAATTTAAAAGTTCTATTAAACAAAAACAAGACATTTAAATAATTTTCAAATCCAAGATTTATTATACAAAATACAGTACTTGAAAAATCAAATTAAATTCAATGTTTAAACTAATTGGTTTTTTTAAAAATATTTTATTATGTTATTGCTTTAATTAAAAATTAGGAGAGAATTTACCTTGACATTTAGCAGTCATTGAAGTTTAATTGCAGGTTGTTAACCATTGCCATTGCTATAGGCAGGTGGCACAGCAGTATGGCTCTTGGTTATCAGTCAAGAGGTCAGGATTTGAGTCTGCGTCTTGTTGCTAGTTTGTGTCCATACACTTTATCTGCATTGCTTCTCTCCACCAAGGATTTAATTGGGCACCTGGTTGGATTTTTATTTTTGTAGGTTGCATTGTGAACATATTATGAAAAAAAAATTAAAGAGAGGAGAGAGGTTAAAAGTTTGTTATGGTAAATCTGTATGTTCTAGGTTTAACAGAAGGGGAAACAAGAATTATGTAATGTGTTCCATAAACAAGAGGTGCGAGGTATGAAAAGGATAAGTGCTATTGCGCTGAATACGGCTGCAACTATAGAACTAAGTGCTCTGTATAATATTATTAGATCTTGTAAATTAGAAGTTTGTACACTAATCTGCATGTGTTGCATGACCTTTTACATAATAAGTAATACGTATGCATACATTGCAGAAAACATGACTAATGATAATGCTTCTGTAGTTAATAATTAAAATATTAACAAAATATAAATTCATTTTGTAAACTTTAGAGTTGGATATATTGCTACAAATTTAAACTGTTATTATTATATTCATTCTTTTATTCATTCATTTCCATTTATTCTCATTTGCATATAACAAAATACACAAAGAAATTGTTCCTGCTTTAAGACAACTACTCAATAGACAATAAACTTAATAAAAAAAAAAACAAAGGTTATCTTGTTACGTTCGTATGATACCTTCAACTAGCGTTCAGTGCCTGAATGGCTGCGGGTTATTAAAGTTTGGCATTGTAAACATTTAGTGCTGATTTTTAGACATTGACGAGGTATGAGGGCAGGCTTTTTATACTTGAAATATTGAACTTGAACTGATTTTTCCCTCGTAAACTATATTGTTTTTTTTTAAAGGAAGTATCCATGAACTAAATGCAAGATTCACCTACATGGTTGGTTTATAGCAATTTTTAAACCACTATCACAAAGGCAGAATACCATTTACCCTTTTGCAGTATCACCATATAACTTTTATGTGAAGTTGCGTTCAAGGATATGAATTACCAACTTTTATATGTTTTTGTAGTGTATTGTATATTATAATATCAAATAATTATTGAATTCAATTTATTATTATTAATATTATTATTTTAAATTGTATTGTATAGCCTCATTTAATCGACCAAGGTGCAGTATCAATGGCGCTGTGCATGTTAATGATGGGGAAAATGAGTTTTCAGTAATTTCTTAAATGAAGCAACAGGTGAACAATGTTTAATGTGTGTAGGGAGTGAATTCTAAAGTGCTGCAAAAGGAAATAATTTATGACCAATAGTTTTTGAGGACGTGCGAGTTACGGAGAGCAAAAAAAACCCAAAACAACAGATGCTTTAAGCATCTGATGACCCTAGACAGGTTGTTTAAACAAAATTGCTTTTGAAAATAAGGAAGCACAATCTTGAACTTAATAGTTTTAATAGCTCCAATTGCAGTTTATGAACTCTTGAATTACAACTATTATTAAGATCTCTTGGGCATTGTTTTTGTGTCTTATGGCTTATTTAAATATGTAGCTCATTCTATTTTAGCTTAATGTAAAACCATCTGTAAGCTAAGATTAAAGATGTCAAGTACAGGTCATCATATTGAAAAGGAGGAAGTAGGCAACATTTAGAATTTCCCTCTACCTGAGCCCCAATCTTTAAGATGTCTGTACATCTACATTGCAGATTTCTCTAAAAAAATTAATATTTACACATTTTACCTCATTAAAGTGATGATACCATTAAACCTTGAGTAGAAGCCCAGTGGGCTTAATCTAGAGAAGAAATTGAATTGAATCTTTATTTTGCAAAAGTAGCCTCGAAAATAAGCCCAATGGGCTTAATCTAGAGAAGAAATTGAATTGAATCTTTATTTTGCAAAAGTAGCCTCGAAAAGAAGCCCATTATTTTTTTTTATTTTTTATTTTTTTATTTATTCGTTATTTCCATTTTTTGGACTATAAAGAAATTTATATCTTGAGATAATACAGTACATACACTGTACACAAATTTCAGAAGTAACAAAATAAATTAAAAACATGCTTGATTTATACAGTAGCTTTAAAGGTAATTTAATGCCGGTGGTTCCACTTCATGATACAGACTGATGTTACAGTGGCCTACTTATTGTTTTATAGTAGTAATTCCCAAAATTCACAGCATTCAGTTTGAAAAACCCCCCTCTTTACTTTGCAAATTAGCCTTGGATAGATGCCTATTGTGAAAAGAAGCCCATCTCAAAAAGAATCTTGTCCAAAGTTCGCAAAAAAAAGAAGTCCATGGCTTCTATTTGAGGTTGTACAGTGAGGTAAGGTCTGACAACACTATCACGTTTTCTATTACAAATGTCTGTGACTGTCCCATGTATGGTGTTGATCATCATGGCCATATATGGGGATAATCACAGATATACTGTATATGTGGACAGACTTAATTATTTATTCCTCCATGCTTCAAGGAAACTTTATGTTACAACCTGTAAAACCTGAGAAACATTCAAATAGTATTATAACATTTTTGTATTATGGATCTCAGTTTAAAAGATATAAAAATGTATTCCAAATATTTCTTTAAAGCTGGTACGCGCTGCATCGTAAGACCATCAGCCGGCGAATCCATCTCTGTACTTGGTGACAACCAACGCTGTCTGCTGATTGTCAAAGGCAGACTCAGCAGATTGTTATTAAAAATGATCTGGTGTGCGTGTCATGTCACCTTGCTTTCTTCGTGTAATCGCATTGACTGAGAATATCCACATGGTGGATGCCCTCTTAAAATGTTAGATATGTGTACACCATATTATTACATTTCAAGTCAAGAGAAAATTATTGAATCAGACATTTAGACTTTCCTTTTACTGTAGTTTAAACGAATGTCTGCCTCAATATTGTAGAGTCATGAAATAGGTTTTTACTGCGATTAAAACATGTTTGTTGTCTCAAAAGCCAGGCTGTAGAGGAAAACCAAGGGATATGTTGTATAATTTTATTCTAAGACACTGAATGTGTGTTTGGAGAAAAATCTTCGTAACAGTCAATAAGATATAGATTTTGAATCTTTAAAAACTGAGAAAAAGGTGGTTGTGCAACTTAGAATTTTATTTTTTCCTCCGGAGCCTGGTTTTATTGCAACGTTTACTGGTTTCCCGTAACTACTACGGGACCGAGGCAAAGCACTCTCAGTGCTTAAAAGCCCCTCTTGTAAATAAAATTACTGTTAGCATATGGTGCAAACTTTAGTGGATGGCGGGACCATGCCTCATTGAGCCTTAATTTGAAAGTATTAATAGTTGAACATATAATACTGCTTCACTAGGAAGTGCATTCCAAAGCAAGACCACCCTTCTCGAAAACGTATTCCCCCAACATTAACCTTAGAATGACTAAATTTCATCTTTTATTGATGACCCCTTGTTCGTGAATCCCGGTCAAATTCGAAAAACACCTCACTTGATATAGAGTCAAAACCCTTAATTATTCTAAACACTTGGATCATATCCGCTCTTTGTCGTCTATAGATCAAAGTTGGAAGACCAAGTATTTTCAACCGATGCTCATATGAAATGTTACGAAAACCAGGAATCAATCTCGTGGCCTGCTGTTGAACTTTTTTTAATAAATCTTGATCCCGCTTACTCATAGGATTATAAACTGAATTGCAATACTCCAAAGTTGGTCTACTATTGATTTATATAATTTGAAGAAGCCCTCCTTTTTAAGAAATTTAAAAGATCTATAAATCATTCCTACAGTAGCTTCTTGTTTGTTCTTTTCAGATATCTGCAATATGCAGTTTAAAAACCAATCCAGAATCAAAAGTAACCCCCAAGTCTTTTTCATATTCAACCACCCCTAACAAGTTACCTGCCATATGATATACGTATACCTAGGATTTTTTCTACCATAATGGCGTACTTTACACTTGGAGTCATTAAATGGTAACTGCCAAATTCTAGACCAATGAAATGCTCTATCAATGTCCCTCTGAAATGAAATGTTTACCACATTATAAATTTTCGTATCATTGCCAAGTAAGCGAATATTTGAGTGGATAAAGTTTGGCAAATCATTAATAAAGAAAGAAAACAAAATTTGCACACACCATCTCTACGATTACCAACCCAGAAAAAAGTTTTACATTCCGCCTCCAAGTCAACCTTATCAAAAATCTGAACTAAATGCGTACTGTAAAGTCTTCGCTCTTTCATGCAGTAGAAATATCACTTGTAGACTCCTCAATGTTGTACAACATAAGATTATTACGCCTTTTCAATTTCTCTAGTTCATCCACGAGTTTATCATTTATTTGGGTCCTAATCTGTTCATCCACTCCAATACTACTACCACGATCACTCTTACCCAATCTACTAATTTCTTCCTTATTGGATTTCACCTCCTCCTTAATTTCCTGGATTGCTTTACTCATTGATGTCTGAGTTTCTTTAATATTGTTTAACACCCCTTTAAAATCCAAAACATTTTCAAAAATCCTTCTAAATATCCTCAACCAAAAATCATACACTAGAACTTTTTTTAGATATAAATTATCAACTATAGGCCTGAATTATGTCGAAAGACAAATCAAAACCTAAGAAAAAATTAAATTTTAACAATACGATTCTCGCTCAGCAAGAAAACACATCCAACCTTTCATAAGCACGCCCACGTTACCTCGTGTTACGAAAAACATTATTGAATTGAGGGGTATAACAATTGTTTTTTTTTTTGTATTTACAAACAATCGTCTGCTTCCTTATTACTGTGTCAGGAAATCTTTAGAAGCATATTGAAAAGGTTGAGGACATTTGCAACTTTCCCTTTACTTTCGGCTTCAAGACACTAGAATATTTTCAGTTCTGTGTCAGACAAAAAACGTCAGACACATTATTTGATAGGTTGGGAAAATTTTAGAATTATTTTCTTTACTGAGGCTTATAAAAATGTTACGACAATCGTCCGCTTCCTTATTACAGTGTCAGGAAATCTTCAGAAACATACTGTATAGCTTGACTTTTTTTTTTTGTGGCTTACAATGTTATAAGTGATGTTTACCACCAGCAAAATCTTCAACATATTTTAATGGTCTGTACTACATCCATATTGCTATTGATACCAATGACTTTCAGTTTTGTTCTCAAATTCCTGGAGCTCAAATCTTTTTTTTCCCTGTATAGAAGTAGTGGCAAAAGGACGTGCTTTTCCAAGGTTGCACCCAATATAGCTGCAGATGTCAAATGAGAATGATTGTTGTACTTTTGCTTTGATATGAAACTACAATATATATGCATTAGTTCAAAGAAGGACTATCTGGCATGCTTTGGTATATGGTACTTTCATTAGGCATTTTTTTAGGTAGGTTTCTATTGAAAATTGATGGTGTTTTTCTTGTGACAAGAAAGAGTCATTTGTCAAGAAGGCAGGAGAAGTAGCCCTTATTAAAAAAAAGCAACTTTTCGTTTTTACATCCCAAAGAATGTGTTTTTTTTTTTTTAGAACTAAATAAGTACCATTCCTGGATTGCCAAACGATGCTCTTTTTGCCAAAGAGCCCAGTGGTACTGCCACAAAGAACCGTTCTTAGTTTGTAAGAACTGTTCTTCCTCATCAGTAAAAGTACATGAATGATGAATTATGTCCAAAATTGTACCGTTTAAGTATAAACTAAATATGAAATAAATTGGATATGAATTTAATGAATTGAAATATGTTTAGCCTGAAAAGTGGCGCATCCAGGAATTTGGAATAGAGGGGGCGCAGGGAGGGACTTTCAAAGATGGACGGACCATCTTAGCTCCTCTATGGTTGGGGCTGAGGTAAGACAATTTATGAATATAATGGCATCTCTAATGGCCAGAAATGGCACTCTTAGACTTGAATATAATCTTCTTTTTATATCAATTTTTTTTATTTTTTTTTATTTAAGGGGACCCAGGCCAAC